TGAGCTGTTCTTAGGACCAGACAGAACATCTCTTCTACAGGGCAACCACATGCTAGAGAGCCTCTTAGGGATCTTCTCCAAGCTTACAAACGATCTTCTATCATACTCTGCAAGATTTTGTTTGGATGGTTACATAAGAATTTAAGATCAATGTCTGAGGAAGGACATTAAACTGGTCTTTAAAAAGCATAAAATATGGTTAAAAAAACAATGATGTCTTCTCAATTTTTAGACATTTTCCATTTTAAATGGTTAGAAGATATACAATCAAATTTTAACTAAGACTTCTAAAACGAGGCATTGTGTAATAACCTTTCTGTTGCTTTGGGTGCTAACTACAACCATGTTCTATTTGAATCAATGAAGAAAAACTACATGAAGATACAAATGCCAAATAAAACTTGGCTATTTTTAAAAAGTCTATAGAAGAAGCATTAGGTTCACAAAGCTACACTTAAGAGTCCCCTGATGGTGATGTTTCAGAACTTACTTGTTCAAGTTCCAGAAATTAACCTGTGATTTAAACAGTGCAACAGCTTCCCCTCACATAGAAATACTTTGTCTCAGAGACTGAGCTTCAAGATTCTTTTCAAATTGGAAATGGTGGAACAAGGCTTTAATCCCAGTACTCAAGAAGTAGAAGTGGGCAGTTCAGAATTTAAAGTCAGTCTGGTCTACATAGAGAGGTCCAAGACATCCAGGACTTATATAGTTAGGCTCAACTAAGACTTTAAAAAAAAGGAGATATTTTCCAATTTCCAAACCAATACGAAAAGCGCGAAGATGATGACGGTGACAAAGCAATTAATATTCAAATATTCAGTACCACTTGACACTTCTCAGATCAACCATATTTTATTATCCTTACTTACTTACTTACTTACTTACTTACTTACTTACTGTGTACACACAGGATAAGACTTGTACAAAGTAATCAATGCATCTGCAATCATTATTTCATCCTGGCACAGCCATATCTGATGGGAACAGCAAAAGTCATAAGGCCAGCACAGCTGGTTGACAAAGATCCAGCAAAGCTGAGTCACCTGATGGCTGATGTGCTACCTTTGGTTTTCATCTTCACCTGCTGCATATTTGGGTGACGTTTAATATTTGCACAATTTTGGGATATTGAATTTATGGAAAATTTCTTATGAATCACTTATGCCTTCTCCCAGGAATGAGCCTCTAAGCTTCCCCTGGACAGTCCTGAACATACTATTCCCACCCCCTACCCCGCACCCCTGCTTTAGGGAGATATCCTTATCTACTTGAAGGTCTTCCTTATGCCTTGGAGGTTGTGACACACATAAAAAAGTCAGAGATCTGTTCATGAGGCTATGAGACATTCTTGAAATGAAAGATATTCAAAACAAAGTGAACTCGAAAAGGTCAAGCTAGAGGAGTGGGCCACAGTTCAGACCACAAGCCTCTTCCCACTATCCACTCAGGCATATACAGCAACAAACTTAGATTAGCTAGTTACCTCTGCCCTACACAGAGACTCATATTGATGAGCAAAGAATGGAGGGGAAATATGATAAAGAATAAGATGTCAGGACCTCCCTTTCTTAGAAAGGCACATGCAGAGCCAGCTGGAGATAAAGCTTACTTTGGAGTGTCTAGGGTGTGCAAGCCTTGAGTCAGCTGTTAGGTGAAGGACAATCACACTATGACCCAGGGACCTAGAGACACTAACTAACAAGGAGGGTTCCAGGGGGAAGCATAGATCTCCCCAGAAAGAGGAAATAAAAAAGATTTTGTGGGTGGACTGTGGGCAGATTGGGATGAGAACAGGAGAGATCAGGTGGTGGGTTGGGGAGAGTGGAGTAGGAGAGTAGTGGGAGAGATAAATGGAATTGGGGGACTATGGGGGGCTATGTGGAGACTTAGTGCTGTGGAAACTACCTGGAATCTACAAGGCTGATGCTATAAAGACTGGGACACCAAGCCAGTCACCAAACCTTCAACCTACAATCTGCCCTGCCTAAAAGATGGGCTGGGGTAATGGTGGCCAACCAATGACTAGTCCAACTTAAGGCCCATGACATGGAGGGAGTATATTCCCAATACTGCCTGGAGAGCTAGGAACCAAAGCCTGGACAGCCTAGAGACCTAGGATAGACCAAACATGACTGGCCAAATAAATAAGTAAACGAACGAATGAATGAATGAATAAAAAAATAAAAGAGAAAGCCAATGAAAAAATTCCTAATGATATTCTGCTATACTGTTAGATCAGTGCCTAGACGAACTGTCATCAGAGAGGCTTCCTCGGGATATGCAGAGACCCACATTAGGCAGAGACCAAGGAATCCTGGGGAACTGGTGGATTGTTGGAGCCAGAGGGGTCAAGGACACTGCCCACAAAATCAACTAAGCAGGGCTCATAGGGGCTCACAGACTCTGAAGCAATAAACATGGGCTCTGTATGGATCTGAGCTAGGTCCTCTGCATACATGTTGTGATTGTCAGGTTGGTGTTAATGCAGGACTCCTAACAGTGGGAGCAAGGGCTGTCTCTGACCCTTGGAACCCGTTTCCTCCTACTGTGTTGCTTCATTCAGCCTTGATATGAGGATCTGTGCCTAGTTTTATTGTAACTTGTTAGGACATGTTTGGTTGATATCCCCAGGAGGCCTGCTCTTTTCTGAAGGGAAATGGAGGGGGGCGGACCTGGGGGAGAGGAGGTGGTGAAGGGAAGGGATGGGAGGAGTGGAGGGAGAGGAAACTGCCATCAGGATGTAATATATGATAAAGGCCAGGAATAAAAAACAAAAATAAATACCCAAAGAATAAGGTATCCAGTATAAGACTGATGTTACAAAATGGAACAGGTGCCCAATGCATTCATTTATATACCGTTTCTCAGTCCTTTAAAAACATGTAGGAAAGAGGTGTGTTAGTTAGAGAGCCCACAGTCATTTTACAGATATACTGGTCCTGGGTAACAGTGTGAGGATGCTTGGCATCTCATGAGGTCTACGGTATCAAGTGTCTTAACTACAAGAATGAAGATTTCTAGCCAGCAGTGGTGGCGCATGCCTTTAATGCCAGCACTCAAGGCCAGCCAGAACTATGTAGAGAAACCCTATATCAAATACAAAAAAAAAAAAAAAATACAAAATACAAACAAAAATACAACAAAACATATTTTTGTGGTAGTTTAGCTAACACAAAGGTAAAACTGTTACACAAAACATTGTTTTGAAAGCATGAAACTATACTTTTTTTTCTGATAACCTATTTCAAGTAAGTTACAAAGAGATAGAATGATTAACAAAAATAATTCACATTTCCAAAAGTAAGTTTAATGAATATTCTGATGCTGCTGTATTGTGGTTCTATTCTGCAAGAATTTCGTTAGCCAATAAAATCAGTATGAAAATATACTCTAGAGCTGTATTTTGGTGAATTCTGCATTTAACCTAAATGTCAAATTCAAAAATAAGCTAATTAAATTGTAAGAGTTATTGCCTACAGGGTACAAAGAAATGCTAATTCACACCTTAAATACTGTAAGACCACTTAATAGCAGCATTGGCCTGCCAACTATCAAAGCCCACTTTTGCAAACTATACTACTTGATCTTTTTACCTTGCACTTTTAAATTACAATAAATTAATATTCTAATATAACAATAACAGATATTAATTAAAAATATTTAGTTAACAAAATTATTCACTGTACAGCAAGTTGCAATCATTTTCAAAATAAAGTTATCATTTAATAATGAGATACTTTAATCTTTAAACTAGTCAAGGACAGAATAAACTAAAAAACAACACTGTCTTCAAATTAAAACATCTTTTACTATAATTTGTAAAATACCAATTATAAAATTTAGTACCAAAATTTACATAGATAAAAAGGAAATGAATTTCCTTTGTAATATCATTTCCACTTCTTTTTTTATTGCACTTGTAGTTTAAAATCATTATGCCATAACTATAGATTTCACATATATCAACACTCCTCAGTTATACACCAAGTTATGGATTCTTACATTTCTTTGGTATTCACCTCTGATGGTTATTTTGATCAGCTGTGACATGTCCATATAGGAATCTGTCTGTTATTTACTGTGTCACATTCCAAATTTCACATTGTACTTTTAGACTAAAAGGAGGATTTAGAGAACTGCAGCATTTAAAGGAAATATGGCGCAATGAATGTTTGGTGAGATACAAGCCCTCTATAGTATCACAGGAACAAAACCTTTTTGTACTATGAATGACAACTGGCCAACTGATAACTTATACAAACCTCAACTACTATAAAATAAAGATGTCACTTCAGGAATTCATAAACAGACTATAATAATCATATTATTCACAATTTTCCTATAAGTGCCTCCTATATACAGGGCCCTCGTGTAAAAGCTAACAGCATGCCTGTAAGCTGAAGAAATAAACGCTGCAGCTCCAATGTAGGAAATAGAATACAGACACAAAGAAAGCTCAATATGCAAATGAGTTGCCAAGTGTACAGTGTGCATATTCATGTCCCAAACTGTTGATATACACTATTAGAACTAACTAATTAATCATCAGGACAATGTAACACAATTAAAGACTTTCTTCATTTATCTGACTGCTACTTATAATGCTTAAATATACTAGTACTGAATTGCAGCCGTTTTCCTTCAAGGAAAAATCAGAACTTAAACATTTTGGTTAATCACTCAAATATTATTGGAAATATTTAATCTTTCTTTTTCTTTGTTTTTTTATGCAACAAAGTAAAAAATCATAACATTTACTAAACCAAAATCTAAGATTGAAACCATTAAAGAAACAAAAAGACAAAATAGGTAGTTAAGAATTTCTGATGTTCTGTTTTGCTATTTCTTAAGATGGCAGACTGCCAGATATTACACTGTCCTTACATATGATGAAGATAGGGTTATAAGTTCTTGTTATTCTAATACCATAATTTTATACAGGTTTGTGTCTTCTACGTTACCTTGTAAAACTGTGTGACCATGTACTTATCACTTACATATATGAATTAAAGGTTCCTTCAGAGTCTAAGGTAGAATTTGTTCTTTTCCCATTTTGACTTGGATCTCCTAGAGACAAAAACAAAAACAAAAAAAAAAATTAAAGTAACATATATTGCAAAAGTGAGTATTTCACTTAAAAAGCACTGTGTGACAGCTCTATGTATTGGCATACTAAAAAAAATTTCACAACAGACATAAATATTCCCTTTCCTATCATCCCAATTATCTTTTGTACTCTGTGCCTTTTAGGAAAACGTTCATGTGGATGTCAACATAAAAATCAATATCCAAACTCCTAATTTGCATGAGAACACTGCCAAAGTCATTACTAGCAGAAGAAGTACAGTATGATGCAGTTTCTCCATGAGTCAAGGCACATGGACCCACTAGGAGAGCCACAGAGGACACAGCTGGAAGCTGCTACCCTGTACAGCATCTCCTGCGGAGACAGGTAGGCGCACAGAGGGAGGTGTTACTTCAGAATGCACTTTAGGACCCTCTAGTGCATCTCAACATTTCTTCCAAAAGATGTTGCTAACTGTTAATGTTATGTTTGAACACAGAAATACAAAACACAAAATAAAATTTTACCAAAAGGCCTTAGTATTTTGTGGTGGTTTAAAAGAAAATGGCCCAAAGGGAGTGACACTATTAGGAGGTATGGCCTTGTTGGAGGAAGTGTGCCACTGTGGGGGTGGGCTTTGAGTTCCCCTATGCTCAAGATACCACCCAGTGTCACAGTCCAGTTTCTGTTGCCTGCAGAATGTAGGACTCTCAGTTACTTCTCCTGCACCATGTCTGCCACCACACAGCCATGCTCCCCACCATGATGATAATGGACAGAACCTCTGAAACCATAAGCAAGTCCCAGTTAAATGCTTTCTTCTGAAAGATTTGCCATGGTCATGATATTCTTTCACAGCAATGAAACACTGACTAAGACATGTTTCCTGTAATAATATTTTTTCACATAAAAAAATCAAGAATATTTGTAAAATTAAAATTTGAATGAATCAATATGTATGGACTAAGATAATATACAAGAAAATAAAATTTTAAGAATATTTTAAAAGCTTAGCAATATCCCAGGGTAAAATAAATTGTATAGGTAGAAATTTGAGTTTACTTCATTAAATATATATATATATATATTAAATACAGCTTTTAAAAAGCACTACAGTATTAAATATATCACTTCTTTCTCAAAGCAAGTTATGAACAGTATATAATTAAATTCTACATTTCTAACCCCTACTATGTAACTTTCAACATCATTTTATATTTAAAGCTTAATAATTAAATTATTTGTTCAGTTATATCTTATAATTTTGATTTATAATGAAATATCTAAGGTTTTTTATATATAATATATAGACCTGGTCATATCAAATAGTAATTGTGAAGAATTTAGTTTAAAAATGAGATTAAGTTTTTGTATATAATACTAAGGCATTTTGATTCTGAATTATGCCACTCATTACATGGCTTCTAAAAACTGAGAGGTCATTTGTATGGCAGTCTTGTGTTGGGTCATATAAAAATATTAGTTCTACCTCAGACTGTGCACCTATGACCAGCATTTTTAATGTTCCGAAACAGACTCGGTTCTCATGCTGAACCTTTTGATTCTTTTTTTCAAAGCATCCTTCCAGAGCATTTCTGATAATTTGGCTGTTTTATTTCTTTCGTTAAAAATTAAAATAGATTTCAGCATCCAAAAAGGGTGATGTTATTTAAAAAAAATCCAGAGCTTAAAATACATTTTATTTTCATTAAAAATTAATAATATCAACATGAAATGAAAAGATAGAAGAAACAGTATCTCAGTTAATTAAACAGAATTTCCTGAAACACATGCTCTTCAGCAGTGTGCAGTCACTTCCTGTGTGGCGTTCCACAATCAGTATAGAAAAAGTATTATGATACACATGAAAACCATCTTCTTTCTCCTTAAAACTAAAGATTATGACTATTTAAATATACAAAATATTACCTACAGAATTCTTGTTCATTTAAGCTGGATTTTATAAGATCAAATATTTTTTTTAAAAAACTCATTCAAAAAAGAAGTTGTGCGGCTTTTTTTGTTTTGTATTTTGAGTGTATCCTTATACAGCCTGGCTGGCCTGGAACTGGCTATGCACAGGAAGCTCCTACCTCTGCTGGGCTTAAAAGGCAACAATACCATGCCTGGTTCCTTTTTCTTTAGTTTGAAATTGTCACCAGTGAAAATGTCATATTAACTGTAACTTTCAAGGTGCCATAGAATGTAACAGGGAAAGAAAAAGCAGTTTTTCCTTATCAAAAACATATCAAATCCAGGGTTGAATTGTTTCACTAGAAACATTTGTGAAAAGATTTCAGAGTTTGTTATATGGGGAAAAGCAATGAAGTTTTGAAGTGAGAAAAAACTGCTTTATTCTTTGAATCCTATAGTTGAGTAATTACAGCAAATGTTAACGAAAACATCTGTTACTGTGAGAGAGCCTTAATTTTAGTATAGATGTTTTAGATTCTTATATTGGAGGAAACTTAATTTTTGAAAGGTTTCAAAACAAAAAAGACAGAGTTTGTAATTCTACAAAATTGTACATGCAATATGCTGTGTCCTGTAGGGATTTTCATTTGGAGGTGCTCAAAACCAGTAACTAAGAGAAAATCACCAACAGAAAGTTCGCCTTCCAGTGAAAGGGTGGCATGCTGAAAGCACATCTACAGAACAGGAAAACACCAAATGAAGTCTCCAAAATACTTTATTGCTCATTCTAATTTGCTCTTAAATGTAGTAGAGTAAGTATTAATTTTAAAAGGAAAGGACGTGTAATTACAGTAGAATATTGGAACCTATGTGTAGTTTCTCCCAAAATAACAACAGAGGGTGCAAGAGAGTTTAAGATGTTTTTAGTTGTTATTACAATTTGAGGACCAAGTTGTCAGATAACCAGCAATAATTGAAGCAAGAATGTACAAACTGATTTCTACTCAGGCAGACAGACAGACAAGACAGACAGATAGACACACACACATACACACTATTAAACTTACAGAAAGTATTCATATAACACAATTATAGAATAATAAATTTTGAAAAGTAATTTAACTAACAAATATATACAATTTTTGGAATACAATTCTCATTTTAAAGGTATTTCAAAACCAAGTGTACAAAGTGATCTGTATATTTTAAATCAACTTATATAAGTATGTGTATGAATTATATACAACTGTACATCATACACATTCATTATTATAATCTATGATTACAATAGTTTATATCTATAGATTCAACTGACGAATTCTTATGGCCACAAATTTTTGAGAAACACATACTACTGTTTGTTTTTATTATTAATTGCAATTAACTTTAGAAAATGAGTTCATAACAAAGTTAAAATAATTTGGCTCATCTCTTGTCACAAAATAAAGCTTCCAGTGTTGGGATTGGGTTACATATAACTGAGTTGTTGGCCAAAGTAGTACCATGGTAATCCACAAACAACCAGGCTGTTGCCAAGGCAATGGATTGCTCTCCACAAACTGAGAGCAAGGCTACATTGCTGAAGACAACACCTACACAACTCACTGAACAAGCAAAAGTTGAGCTGCTGCCTACATTGCTTTCATCTCTAGGTTCAAGCATTCTTTGGTAGAGGAAGATATTCTGTAGGATACTGAAAGAAAAATGTAAGCACCAAATCAGCCAGAAACCGTTTGATTGACAATGGAATCCTGCCTGTAAGATATAATGTTGGCACAAAGCTTGCAGGAATTACCAACTAATATCTAATTTGACTTAAGGCTCACTCCATGAGATGGAACCCAAACACTGCTTAGGTGATGAAGAACCAGGAATCTAGGGTAAAACCAAATACTACTGGTCTAAAAAATGTAGCAGTAAAATGATTCCTAATAACATTTTGCTATGCTCAGAGATCAGTGCCTTGGTCAGTCATCATCACAGAAACTTCCTTCAGCAACAGGAACAAATACAGAGACTCACAGCAGAGTGAGAGGCCTTGGAACACTCAGCCCTAAATGGGAGGTCTTCATCAAATCCTTCCCCTTAGGGCTCAGGAAATCTCCCAGAAGAGAAGGTAGAAAAAATGCAAGAGCCTCTGAAGAAGAGATGGAGGACCACCAAGAACACAAGGCTCTCTAGAGGAACATAATCAAAGCTCATACGAGTGCTGAGACTAAGATGGCATGCCCAGGGCTGGTATGGTTCTGTACCAGGTCCTTTGCAACACAACGCTGCCAGTTTAGTGTTTTGATTCCTGAGTGGGGAACAAGTGCATCTCTGATTCCTGTGCCTTCTCTTGAGGTTCTTTTCCTTCTGTTTGTCTTGAACCTAATGTGATTTTTTAAAATTTTATGTCATTATATTTTATTTTGCTATATTTTATCATTATCCCTAATAAGTCTGTTTTATTCTTATTTTCTCTAATGAGAGACAGAAAGGGAATATATTCAGACAGGCAGGGAGGTAGAAGGAAACTATGAGTAGCAAAAGGAAGGAAGTCATAATCACATAATAATGTGAAAAAGTAATCTGTTTTTAAAGGGGGACAGTTTTTAAAAAATCAGTTTGGCTCATTTGAGGAAAAAATACACTGTTAATTTGTGTTGGCTTAAATGAAGTATTTTCAAATAGTAATTTCTGACATATTATGTATTTGTTATTATGTCAATAATAATATAATTGTAACTTAAAATTTCAAAATGGGGATGAGCAGAGTCAAGATATTCTTTTAGCTTTACCTATACTCATGTTGAGATAATGACATTTATTAGTTCAATCCATGAACTGTTGAAATCATTCCAAGTGAAATTTTATAATAAATTTTGTATGGTTTTTATACACAAACATCTGTCTGCTTCAAGAAGAGAGAATCAGAATTTTTAAACTAGGTTAAGTAAAAAAAAAAAGTCAGAAAAACACTATAAATAAGTGCAGTTACTCAAATGTGCCTTTCGTTTACATCTGAAAGCACTGAATTTGAAAGTATCACATCATGCGAAGTATGAATACTGAAAACACTTTATAGTAGAGACAGGCTCAGACTTGT